GGCGCCATGACCCTCCGCAGCCCGACCACTCTAGCGACTCAAATCGACGACGACGCAGGACGTGTACCCAAAAGGGATCCAAGTCTTCATTAAAAGTCAGATGCTCGTCGTTGTCTTCAGCTGAGCCACGAGGCAACCACAGAGAAGTTGTTTCAGTCACAGAAACAAGGGTCGGCTCCTCGCCCACGTCGCCCAAACCCTCGGTAAGTGGCTGAAGATGAATGGTGTATTTTTTCTCCGTCCGCGGCACAGTGGAAGCATGCGCGTAGATCACCACCGGGCACAGAAGAAACACAAGAAAGACGCACAATAAAGCGGAAAAACGAAATGGCATTACTCACTACGGAAAGACCCTGCCCTTATTTCCTTCTTTTTTTTTTTTTTTTTTTTTTGCTCCTCTCGTATCGGTGTGGTTCTAGAAAAAATTGAAAGGGGTTTAACAGTTAAATTGCCCTTTTTTCTACCAACAAATAAAAAATAAAATAAAATAAAAAAAACAATAACAATAATGGAGGGAAATTACAGGCCACAGAAAAATAAATAAATGACGCACCATAAACGCATAAACAAACCACAAAAAAGATCTTCAGGTGCGTCCATGCGGAGCCATAAATTTTTATCGCATGGATCCTCAAAGCACTCACTGCAGTAAGAAAAAGACGCTCACAAAACTACGAAGCTGAAAAAAAAAACAAAAAAACATAAGCACCATCCTAACACTCTTAGCTTTCTCCCAGTTTTCCCCTTCTTTTTTGGTTGTTTTGTTTTGTTTCTGAAAGAATTATATACATTTAAATATATTATTATTATTAATAGCGATGCGGCGGGGGGAAAGAGAGAGAGAGAGGGAGACGGGGTTATTTATTCTAATGGCAAATATAAAAAAGTAAATAAAGACGCATCGCAAACAATAAAAGAACTACGACAGGAATGAATAAAAAAAATTTTTAGACCTCACGTGATGGAGTGAAGCACAAAGGACGCGCCGCAACAAAACCCAGAAAAAAAAAAAAAGACTATTTGTAAAGGGAGAGAAAAAGAAAATCGCTCGATCATTCAACTGCAATATCACTGGGAATCCCACGTAATCATGGTGCAACCTTGTGATTTTAAATCTATTACCGGCACTCCCTTTCAGTCCTAGGCAATTATTATTTGTTCTTCTTCATGTATATCCATGTTTTGCACTACAACACCGTCTTCATTGGACGAAACTGGGCTGCTCTGTATTGTTTTATGCACATGTGTCATTTCATTATCCTCTGACATTGGGTCTTCCTTCGAGGCTTTTGCTGCTGCCACAGTGTCATTCTTTACCGTACAAGGAAGAAGCATCGTGCACGCCGTGAGGTGGAAACCAAAAGTCACAATAAATGCCGCACCATAACCTAGTTTATCTGCCACGTAACCACCCACGAGAGCCGTACCAGACCACGATGCAGTCTGAATGGACTCTACAGCACTCCACATACCCCGACGCTTTTCGGATACAAAATCCATGATAAGGGCTCTACTCAGAGCAAGAGTAGAGTTCATAAGGCTCATTCGCAGTACGTATGCAATGCACATAAGCCATTTGGGCCCCACACTAGTTCCTCGTGCAAGGGCCATGTACAACAAGATGAAAGTTCCCATTAGTTTTGGGAGAAAAATTGCCCGCGCTCTTCCAATCTTACTTCCCAAGCGGGAATTCACGATGGCAAGCAGAGAAATTAATAATGCAATCAGGAGACCAAGTGTTGATAATCCCATTGGTGAAATAAAGTAAATATTCATCATAAAAAGCGGAAAGTACTGCGTCGTCATGCCACTTCCCACGGTAACGACTAAATCGGCCAAGGCAACCACGTAAGGGTACTTTTCCAAAGGAATCGTGATAAGCGTCAGAAAGCCTCTTTTTTTATTTCTTTCCTCCACGCTGCTTTCAAGCTGAGACGTATTGGGAAATTGCCTATCCGCCTTTGGCTTCGTGGTCTCTGGGGTTCCTGGAACGGAGGTAGCAGCAACTTCTGCGGTGGAAACATAAATTTCTTCGTCAATATGTGGGGAACGTGACTCCTCCTTTTCGTACTCCCCTGGCGCATCCATCTCACTCGCTTCTACTGTACAGGCATTATCCGGATTGCCGTCTGCGTGACTTGGAAGCGGCCTAAAGAAGGCCAAAAACACCTGTATCGAGGTAACATGCAACACAATCCCGGCTGTAATGACCCAGCGTAACACGTCAACACGCCAGGCATTTCCAAAAAGGGCAAAAAGAATGAGAGTAATCACAAGACCCCCAACAGGGCCCGATGACTCAAAGCTGAATTTGACGCCGTATACACGATCCCGCTCACCGTGTTTGATACACTGCGCAAAAACAGATTCAACCGACGTAATACTCACACCCAAGTATGAGCCGTAGAGGACCTGGGCAAGAATCAAAATGTAGACATTGGAAATCCATACGGAGACAAGATTAAAAAGCAATGAAAACGTACCAAAACGCAGTGCAAAAATTAATGTGAGTGACGGACCAAGCACTTTATCCGACAAATGACCCCCCAATATGGCACAGAGCATCTGAGATGTGCCATTCAAAGCCGCCATAAATCCAACATACAGGTTACTGTTACCAAAAACCTGGTAAATGAGAGGAGTCCAAGCATTTCTCATCCAGATTGATGTGGCCAGGCTGTTCATAAATACATAGAATATGATAAGCCCAAGGGGAGTACGCAGATAATCCCTCAGTTCGTTGTATTTCGCTCCAAGCATCACTTTTGTTGTTGTCGCTGTCATTGTTTTCTTCTCCCTTCCCGTGGCGCGCAAACTCCCTCAGAAAAAAGAATGTTTGATTACTTGAACCCTTCCAAGGGATGGCTATGGCGGGGTCTAAGCTGAAAAAAAAAAAAAAATCACTGCAGCACTAATTGGGCGATAACGCAAATGTTTTCTTTTCCTTTTTTTTTTTTTTTGCTTCGTATACGCTTACCCTCTCTCTCTTTGTGTCGGTCCCTTCTTTGCGCGCCTATTCGATTGCCTTGGAAAATAACCCTAGCCAAACGAAGCCGTGCGTGAGATTCAGTCAAGCCGACACAAAGGGATGAAAAGAGGGGGCAGATACACCAGAAAAGTGCCGGCAATAAGAAGTGAGGGATCCAAGAAACAGAGAACACAGCATCATTTGCACACATAAATAAATAAGAATTACGGGGGGAGAAAAACGAAAAAAAAAAAAAAAAGGGTACATGCCCCGACGAGAAAATGGGATGCGTGTCACTCATTCAGCGATTAAAAATACCCTCTCACAGGCAACAAAAACAAATGACCCCTTCCCCTTCCCACACGCACACACAGAGAGAGACCAAAGAAAAAAAAAATAATAATAATCACAAGTCAGTAGTACACAAAAATCAATTCTGGATACAAGCAGAACAGTAAGATCAGCACGATGTGTTCATGTAAATTGGTAGAACGGGAACTCTCTCTCTATTGCAAGAGCCACCCTGACACAGACACCTCCTCGCTCATTCTACGATGCAGAAAAACAACGATAATAATACCAAAGTAAAAATAAAATCTCTCCGTGCATCAATTGACGAGAGCAAACATCCTACATCACCATCTCTGCCCCTCCCCCCCCAGCCTCTTATTTATTTTTTTTTTTTTTTTGTCCCCCTGATTTTTTTTTTTTTTTTACATTAGCGGCATCAAAACAGAACCAATCTTACTAAAGAAATCAGTAACTATACGCCACGCGACGTAAGACTTCTTGCACAGTAATTTTACAGCCACTATTTTTTCCTCATCTTTAGAGGAACTAAAACGCCATTGGAGAATGTTATCTGCTCCCATATAATTCGCGTTCAAGTTAACAGCAGATCCCTTAATCACACCCGGTCTCACCATACGTTTCTGGACCGCCGGATGGCCATCGCCACCATCAATCACTTCAACAAGATTTGCTAAAGGCAAATAGTGTCGCATAGTAGAACTCCGCGATTTTGTGTACCAGCAAAGCACCGGTTCAGCCTCACCTCCATGCACCTTGAAATCAAGAAACTTGATCATAAAAAAACGTTCGTGCGGGGCGTCATGGGAAACAAATTTCAACATGGAGGTTCCATTACATACGCAGTTTTCAAAAGCAATAATCACTTCCGGGGGAATTGCTGGTGAACCGACTCCGCGACGACGTGCCACATCATTGACAAGTGCAATAAGATTTAAACTGGGTTGGACCTGCGAGAAGGAGTTGGAGGAAGCGGAGGACCAGGTGACACCAGGCTGAGAACGTCTGCGGGCACCAAAAGTTGAGTCGCGGCTTTGATCCTCGTCGCTTGGCAATGTAATCCAGCGGCAATTTGGTCTGCAATTATTCCCACCTTTCCCCCTTTCATTTGTGGGATTTTTCCTAAATGGCGAAAAGGAATGCGTACATGACGACGGAAGACGATCATCGTCACTCACAACATCTCCACATCTCCCTGACAGCCTTTCAGGGAATGAACGGCCGGGGTTTAAGTACGTCGGATTACGGGCAGTATGCGTCGAATCCACCACCTTCTTTTTGAAGTTGAATGCCTGCTGATGCCCTTCCAAGTTATACTCAGTTCTCTTCCCGTCATTCAGTAAACGGTCGCGATTCAATGACATTTCCCGGAAGCGATCTGAGAGATAATCCACATTTGGTGGTCGAGCCATTGGTGGTGGAAGTGTGTTATGCCGCACGCAGGTATCCTGATGAGTTTTTTTAACCCAACGAGCAAACACACAGACACACAACAACAACAACAAAAAGCGGAAATAAAGAAATGAAAAAAAAAAAAAAAAAAGAACATCAAACTTTACAATCATCAATTCACAGTTGAGAGAAACGACACAAAAGGCGATAGCATAAACCTCCACCAGCCACAAAATATAAGACAGAATAAAAAAACGCATTCGTATTCTTATTTATTTTATTTCCACTCTTTTTTTAATTTTCTTCGTGAATGTTCCTTTCTGTCTTTGATTTAGAACTTGTTACTATTAAAAATGATTACAATGCAGTTACATCGGTTTTATCTCCTGTTGCAGTACTCAGTGTCGCCTCTGTTCAGCCTCCGGAAGGGCGCGCACAATGCGCATAACCGTGTTTTTAAATCGCGCCACACCCTTTGTCTTCTTAAGGCAGCGCTCAGCCTGTTCGTGATCTTCAAAAGTAATAAAGGCAAAACCCCTGTAGTTTCCAGTTGCATTATCCCTGGGAAGAAACAACTTTTCAATTTTATATTCATTAGTGTCAAAGATGTTGTAGAGCTCTTCCCTTGTAATGTCATCCGAGATGTTTGTAATGCGAAGACGGCGATCCGTGTCTTCTTTGCGCTGTGCCGAGCTCTTTTCTCCCCTGGCGGCGGCCCATGTACGCTCCTTTGGCTGATCTGTCTGTGTGGTTTCCTCCAGCGCAGCCTTCTCTTGCTCTTCCTTGATTTTTGCAAAGCGGGCCAAGCGAGGGTCGGTGACCTCAATCTTCATACGTTCCACCTCGTTCATAAGACGTACTATTTCATCACGCGCCACGCGTTCAAATGGGTCAATTTCGCCCAGCTCTAACACAATGGGAGGATCCCGGGAAACAAGGTCTTGGTTGTTGTCCCCACTCTTACCAAATCGTTTCCACTTGGCACGAATATCTACAACTGTGACTGGGCGGTCCACATGGTAGGTGCGGACTTTCTTCACGATTTCGTACCGCTTGTTCTCGCTGTCGGTCACGGTCTCAATAACAGTCTTGGCATTCTCCCAGGCCAGCTTATCGTCATTTGCTGCAGCGGCATCCGCCCCGCCCTCAAAGGAGGCCGATATTTCGTCAGCAAAACCGTCCTCAAGCGTGGGATCAAAATCATCCGCCCACGCCGCCATTTTCAGATAATTGTATGCACACACGCGCACGCACGGGTAGAGAGAAATAGGGTAGAAGTTTATCTCGCTCTCTTCCGTTTACCCCCTTTTATGTTGTTTTCCTGGAAGAACTATTCCTCCCTGCAAAGAAAAAAAAAAAAAAAAAATTCACACATGTAAATAGAAATAATGAAAAAAAAGAAGGATGCGAAAGGAGGCATTCACTTTTCCCTATTAGGTACGCAAATTTTGGGAGGGAACAAAAACCAACTGCAATAAAATAAAGAGCGGTCACTCCAGGAAAAAACCCCACGGGAGAAATAAAGAAAGAAAAAAAAACATTCCCATTCAGCCCTGTACAGACAAACACAAAGAAACACATAATGCATTCACCTACTTTCAGAGTTTCTTTTAGGAGCGTGTATTTGTCTACTCTCTGGAATTAAAAGAGGGAGTTGTTCCAGCCAAACGGATGTGGTGAATGCCACCTTAATACTGTTCGCCTGTTGGTCATCTTCTCTATTCCTCAGTGCTCATTTGTTTCAAAAACACCAACGCGGTTTCTCTCGCTCTAACTCTCTTTTTTTTCTCTCATAGACAGACGAGCGCCTCTCTCCACGCCGTTCATGTCCCCGAACGTTATGACTGGGAGGCATACGCCTTCCTTCACTCACAGGGAGGTCTGAATCTCTTTCTCCGTCATCGTATTTCCAATTCCCCCCCTCTTCGGTGCCAGACTGCGATTTCTCTTCCGTCTCACTCTCCTCGTACTTATACAGCCACGAGATGTCACGGTAGGTTGGCCGAGGAGCAACAGAGGTCTGGTATTCCTCGGGTGAATGTCGCCGCGGCAAAAGCCAGGGCATTTCAGACTGTCGGCCATAGAATGCCTTTCCGTTCTCTGACTCGTTCGATTTTGGGGTGCCATGTGTCAAGTTTTCCCTCTCATTCAAAGACTTTCGGTGCGGAACAGCCCTCGAACGAATTCCCCCACTGGAAGCTGCAGTCGCAGCACGTTCCGGAGTAGTGGCGCGGTCATTATCATCCTGTGAAGCTGAAAGGGTATGAGTAGGAGCACCATGAAGAAAAGAGTGACCGTGTTCCGAGCGATAGAGTGTATACTCATCTTCTCCAGCATGTGGAAGTGATGATCGGCGTCGTCCTTTGCTCTTCAATTCATTCCCAAGAGCCGATTGGGTGGAAACGCTTTTCTTTACAGGTGCATGGCTCCGAAAGCTCTGGTTAAGACGCTCAACCTCTAATGCCAATTTTTTATATTCTCTACTTAGTTCTTTTAGGCTCGTCAACTCGTTGTTTGCGTTTTTCTGTGGAACCTTTTCCATTTTTTGTTGTTGTTGCTGAAAGGCGAGAACAGACCCGTAGTACTGTGCATAGTACATCATCCATGCGTAGTAAGTGCGGTACCACTCCATCTGTTGGTATCTTGACATCTGGCTCCAATCCGCTCCTCTTGACGGTGGTGCTGGCGATGCACCTGGCGACACATGCTGAAAGGAGGGAGCGGCCGTCGGGGTAGTCGCCGGTGGCGCAGTACGATAACGACTATTACCGGTGAGATTTGCATCCACGTTGTTGTTGGTGTTGTTCGCGGTGGTCGCAGTCGTTGTGGGAACAGGAGGAGCTGGTGGAACTCCCATGGGCCGTCCAGGGTCACTTGTACGAGATGCGGGCAGCCAGCTTGAGGAATCGATGCCAGTGGGCTGAGAATTTTCCTCAACATGCGTTTCATCGTGTTTCTGTGACTCCTCGCGGACCAGCACATCCTCAACATCTCGAAGCAAATCAATAACATCGGTGGCATCTGGCTCGCTCCTTTCATGCGCCAGCCAATCCAGGCGATGCAGAACGCTCTCCTCCGGCAATCTTGCCGGAGATTTCGTCGCCGAGTACGTTTCCCACCGCCTAGGTGAATAACGCGTATCGGGAGGAGAGTCTAACGTTCCATTTGGTGGCGGTGATTTCGTCTCCGCCTCAAATTCCACATGCGAAACGCCAACGCCGCCACGTGGGAGCCCCAAATTCTCCAGTTTCCTCGCATATTCCGCCCAGTAATCGGGAGCCTGTCCGCGAAACTCCCCGTTAGATTCATCTCGCCCCCTCAAAGCGTATTTGTCGCCTGTCCCGCCGCCGGTAAATCGCGCCATGCGGTCATGATACTTGTCATGGAATGCCAGTTGCTCCTCGGCAGAACGCGAGTGGCCGTGAAACAAAAGAGCTCCGTGCTGCATGGGTGGCGCAGCAGCCCCCATAGACCGCATTCTCCCTCGTGCTTCAACGCGAAGGTAAAAGGGGAACAAGTGCGGAAGTGCGTGTAGGGCAAAGGCACCGAAACACAAGAAAAAAACCCAAACAACAAGTCTTCTTCCCCGCCAGCATCAACACATACAAAAACAAAAACAAAAAAAAGAAAAAAAACTTCAAGCAAACAAAGCAAGGTTACAGAGTTTGCCTTACATTTCTCTTTTTTTTTCCTTTTCTTTTTTTTTTCTTTTTTTTTTTTGCGACATCAAAGATGAGAAACAAACCTACACCCAATTACCACACAAACACAGACAAATGCATTTTAGACGCCAAACATGATCTCTTAAAAGGTCCAAACCAAATCAACAACAACAATAACGCTGCTTAGTCCCGGCCAAGAAAGAAAAAAGACGTAGGGACATTCTTTGCAGGCGTTCTAGCTCTTCACTGGGGCCCACATTTTCACGGTGTTATCAGCACTGTAAGTGGCAATGATGGGCTTACTGTCTGCATGGTGAACTGCGGCACCGACAACGCGTTCCCGGTGACCTTCAAGTTTTTCTACTAATATGGCTCCACCCTCTTCTGTGACATCATAAATGCAAGCTGTGTTCTCTGCACCAGGGATCACCAAAAGATCACATTCCGTCAATCGGCGTGACTGTGGATCATTTTCCCGCTCGCCATCATCAAAAAAAGCAGATACGTTTTGTCTTCTTCCTCACACCCTTCCAAAATGCCGCCTTGACGGTAAATCCACGAGTTGGAACTCCTCCAA